TTTCTCTGCCTTCATGTCTCTGTTTTCTTCACGCAAATAAGACACTCTTGTTTGCCTAATGAATAGGCAGTCTCCCTCAACTTCTGGCTACCAGAATCCCAGTTTTGTTTAGGAATCAGATGGGTATATGCTTCTGCAGAAGCTGATCACTTCTCTAGTCCTAGAACATGAAACTTGATTAGTTCTTGAAATATAACCCTCAGAACCCTAAGTATCTCTGAGACCTTTTCAGAGGTTCTGCTAGGTCAGAAGTATTTTCATAATAATACTAAGACCTCATTTGCTCTGTTGACCTTGTACTGATGATACAAATGCAATGGTGGGTAAGATGGCTGGCACCTTAGCACAAATAAAATCAGTGGCACCAAATTGCACTAGTAACCATCACATTCTTCATTGCTATGGCCTTTTAGTAAAAGATTAAAAAACATTATAAAGCCAATTTCACTTGAAAATATCTTTAATTGTGCCAATAAAGCAGTAAAAGTTATTAATTAAATCTCAACCTTTGAGTACATGTCATTTTATGTTGTGTGTGACAAAAGGGAAAGTACACATGAACACCTGTGCAATTGGGAATTGTGGGCTGACCTATCCAGTTTTTTCATCAAATACCATTTTTTACTTGAAAGAACAACTAACAAATTAGTTATTCAGACGTGGGTGTTTGGCAGACATTTTCTTGAAAGTGAATGAAATGAGCCTATTGCTCCAAGGAAAACAACTGACAATATTGTGTGTTTATCCCTCCCCGCAAGTCAAGTCTTCTTCCATTTATCCCCAAGTGGCTCAGTGGTTGAGCGTTGACCTATGAACCAGGATGATTCCTGATCAGGGCACATACCCAGGTTTCAGGTTCGATCCCCAGTAGGGAGCATGCAGGAGGCAGCCAATCGATGATTCTCTCTCATCATTGATGTTTCTATCTCTCTCTCCCTCTCCCTTTCTCTCTGAAATCAATAAAAAATATACATATATTTTTTAAAAGTTTTTAAAAAATCCTCATCTGAGGACATGCTTAGCAGAGGAAAGGAGAGAGAGAAACATCATTTGCCTTCCGTACACTCCCCGACTTGGGAGCAAACTCAAAACCTCAGGTATGTGCCCTGACCCGAATCAAACTGGCAACCTTTCGATGCACTGGACAACACTCGGCCAACTGTGCCATTTCTGCCAGGCCAGCTTTCGACTGTGAAGGTGAAGATACCAGACTTATATTAGTGTAGGAGAGAGGAGAGGGTCTGAACCAAATATTTCTTCACTGCATTTTCTGCCCCAAAAATTCGGTTGCAGCCTTGAAATTTTTCTTTCATCAGTGCCTCTCATGTGTGGGAAGCAACTGAAGTCAGTGTATAATTACTTCTTTCAGGGAGTTTAATGGCTTTGGCCTTTCTTTATTGTCTCTAGTCCTCATTTCTGTGTCACCTGCCTATCAGCACTCAGATCCCTAATAGGTACTGTACTATTTTGACTAATATCTAAAGGTGAATTGAAAAGAAGTATCATTAAAAGATAAAGGACAGAATTGTTGGGAAACTTCAGAGATTTCCATTTTTAAATTCTCTCTTCTCAGGTTTTTGTTTTGTTTTGTTGTTTACTTCCCGCCTTCAGTGAGCCCCAGAAGCCTGTGGTGGCACTTAGCATTTCAGAGTGAGAACTGGCCCAGCTTTTATTGTTGTCCTAGTTGTTAAGGTATTTAATTACCTTAACGTTTTATATTCCTGTTCCTCATTTTCCCTGCTGGCTTCAATCTCCTGACAATCCCTGCTCTTATAGCCTAAGTATATGGAAAAGATGGCAAAATGAGTCCTTTTCTGATTTTGATTCTCTCCTGGAGAGTGATAAATGAAGCTATGTTTGTTCCAATGAATAGTAGAATATGAAATCTCATAAAGCCACCTAGGTTATTAGATGAATATCACAGAGCTGCTTATTATGCACTATGGCTTAATGTAGATTATAGATGCAACCAACATAATTAGCAGAGCTGGAGCTCTAATTAAACATTATTGTGCTGCACCATGATTTCGCCTTCGATTTCTGTTGCAAAGTGGAAGGAAACTGAATAGTTCCAAACCCATAGATGAATTTCTTCACTTCTCCCCACCCCCCAAAATCTTTTAATTAATTAAAAAATTAAATAAAGTCATCCTTACACAGAGATCCTGAACTCTGCTTAGTAACTCTGACCAGTAAGGTAGTTTGTTGCATATACATGTTAATCAGCTCCTCATGTATATTAGTTCTTAGTGATCAGTTCTGCTAAGTTTCTTCTCTTTAGGGTATATAGCAGGGTTTAATTTGACAAGGTGCTTGAATGCAACATTGGCGTTTCCTACTTATATCTTAGATGTTGTTTTCTGGATCTGTTAGTAGGGAATTTAGGGGCTTGGCTTTATCTAGAATATTAGTAGCTTATTTCTTTCTGGGCTCCAGCAGCACTAAATAACTTAACAGGAAATGAACCCACTTCCAGAAAAGAGCTGTCCTTGATGGCTGAGATAATGTGTAGGTGGCTGACTCCCTGGGGACTTACCTCCCTCAGTACTTGGGATTGCTGTTTCAGCGGTGGAACAGATTGGCAACAGGACATGCTCGAGCGAGGCAATCAGAAAATTCACAGGAGTGACCTAGAAGGTTTAGGTCAATCTCTGTGTCCCAGAAAGAGGACCTTGTAGGAATTTCTTTTGCTACAAGAAGAAAGGTATAGAAAAGGGAACAAACGCTGAGCAAAGGAATTGCATATCCTGACTGTGAAATTGCTTCTGCCTCAGTTCTTCCCCAAAAGAACAGAGGTAAGTCCATAAGTAAAGATGATCTGTATATTCTGTCTCTATTTTCCCCCTTTCTAGTAACTCCCCAGGAATCTTTCTTTGCAAAGAGTTATGAGCCACCTTCTTGGAGCATTCCTGAAAGGGTTAAATGACTAGAGCCAGATTCCAGTACTACACAGGAGTAATGGGGAGTCTAGTTTACTTTTTCTGTGTTATTTCTATCTTCAAGTCTGTGCATGGAGATGTTAAAGGGTCTTTTAAGGATGTACCACACACATCCCAAGAAGGTTACCAAATTAAATTATGAATACCTGATTTTTAAGAGTGCAAAGACAGCAAAATGCCTTTTGGCATTTACCATCATACAGAAGATTCATTATACAGGTTTCCACTTTCATTTCATTTTATGAAAAAGGTGGAGTTAGGGAAATACAGGATGGGTATATGTAACAACAAGCAGATAAGGATAATGTTTTGGCAACTTTTCAAGGACCAGTATTAATCTGAATCAGTGTTTTAAACCTCCAACCCAGTGGTTCAGTTGGTTAGAGCATCGTCCTGATATGCCAATGTTGCGGGTTCAATCCCCGGTCAGGACACATACAAGAAGCAACCAATGTATACATAAATAAGTGGGACAACATCGATATTTCTCTCTCTCTCTCTCTCTCTCTCTCTCTCTCTCTCTCTCTCTCAAATAATATAATTAATTTTAAAAAAAGAATCAGTGTTTTAGCAGTCTCTGGACTCTGACAGTGATGATTCACAAATAGCAATGACTTATAAGCCAAGATGTCAGAGCTAACTGCAGAGAATGGATGCAATACCCAGATGTCAGTGTTAAGAGGAAGTAGGTGAACTATAGGTAGAACAGTGGCCATGCAGTAAACTATTCCAGAGCCAGACTTCTGTTGCAGAGTTGTCCAGCAGCTTGTATTATGGGTTTATTGTATGGCTCTCTGAATATAGGTCTGTAGGACTAAAAAATCTTTGCAGAGAAGAGGGTCCCTATCATTTTCTAAGTCTGCTGATTGCTATCATACCAGTCAGTGCATCATTGAGTGCCTTTGCATATGCAAGGTACTATGTTCAGTTAGGATTTTGGCACTGTAGACTCAGAGTTGGTAATTTGTCAACCTGATAAATGCTAAGATTTAATGAGTTAAGGGATTATTACCCTTTTCGTTACATTTTTTTTTTAACTCTAGATGTGTTACATTCTTCTTGGAATCTAAGTAATTGTGTTTTTGTGAGAGGTTCTATATTTGGAGGTAGATTGTTGGTCCTTCAACTATTTCTATCTGTGTGTGTCTATAATCAACTTCATCAGCAGACTCTCTACCAATCGGTTTCTGGGTAGTGATAACACCTCTTGTTTCTCACAGATAAATTTTATGTTAGATTCACATTCCAAAATGCCATTCTCATTAACTATTGCTGTTATAATAGAAACTTCAAGCTCTCCTAAATAACTTTTAAGAAGACTTCCTTCTAGCTAAAGATGAATTAAAGCTCCAGTCTTCTTGAAGTGGCATTCCTAGCATCTATTTTCCCCCTTTTCTTTATTCCTATCTATATTCTTGGATTTTATACCTGGTTAATGTAGAATTTGTTGGGAAACATAGTGGTAGCAGTAAAACATGGCTCAGAAACTGGTCCGTTTCTTTCTTATCAATCTTTGTGCTCTGTTACTACTGAAAACTGGCCCTAATTCTCTTTCACTAGAAAAATGAGACAAGCACAATTTATGATGAAAATTGTTATTAAGAAACTAGATGCCCGGTGCACGGAATCTGTGCACGGGTAGGGTCCCTAGGCCTGGCCGGCGATCAGGGCCGATCTGTGGGGTGACCGGTGGGGTGATTGGGGAGCCCCGCTGGCACCCGCCTTGGCTGGCCTGGGTCCTGCGGGCAGCTCCTGCGTTGAGCATCTGCACCCTGATGGTCAGTGTGCATCATAGTGACCAGTCGTTCCACTGTTAAGTCGGTTTGCATATTAGGCTTTATTATATAGGATAGAGCTTCTCCTAGCTCAGGGCACATTCATCTAAACTGCTAGCTTTGTAGTGGTATCATGAGTAAAACTTGAAAGGAAAAAACAAAGTCTTATATTTAGAGTCTTCTGCACTCTGGCAGGAAAAGATGTTGGACTAGATTAAATACAAGGAAGGTATTTCCTCTAAAAGTTCTTCCTGTAACTCAGCTGGTGCTTTTTCTTCCCCCACAGATGGAGTCCCCTGTCTCCACACCAGCAGTGCTGCCACTACACCTTTTGGTACCAGTGGTCAGTAATGACATCTCATCTCCCTGTGAGCAGATCATGGTTCGTACCCGATCAGTTGGGGTCAACACATGTGATGTGGCTTTAGCCACCGAGCCTGAGTGCCTGGGTCCCTGTGAACCTGGGACAAGTGTCAACCTTGAGGGCATCGTGTGGCAAGAAACAGAAGATGGTAAGTGCTACCTGTGGCTTCCCCATCCCTTCTCAACCTGCTTCTGCCTGCAGGGGTTTATTGTTGTAATTCACACCAAGTATTTATTAGGAGTCTCAAATGACCATAGTCTGCTGGTGATACTTACCCAGAAGATTACAGTAAACTTCTTAGTAAAATCCCCCAGCTTCTAGAGATTGGCAGTTTTAATTGTTTCCACTTTGTAGCTGTTCAACAGTATTGGCCCTGATACTTAAGCAGTAGGTTTGATAAGTGCTGGCCAGGTAATTCATACTGTGTCTATACTCTCCATACCCCTCTCTATCATTTTATATGGAAGAATTCAAATAAATGAACTTTTGGGTCAGGCTTGAAGAGATAAAGTAATAAAAGGGCAGCTGTGGGAGTCAAGGAAATGGAAAACTCTTAAATTGACTTAGTGTTGGCTCATTGAATGTGCAACTCTTGCCTTTTTTAACACCTGGAGGTGCAGCCAGCTTCTTCCTACTGTTGCCTCATTCCCCAACCATCCACACCGCTTCATGCATCTGTCAATACAGATTTTATAGGCCTAGGCAACAGGGAAATGTTTACATAGCCTTGTTTTCAGGTATCCACTAAGCAGTTGGCTCACTGTAGGGTGCTGCTCCCCAAGGCTACTATCCAGACTTATATGTTCCATCGGCCCTTGAGAATAAAATCTCTTCTGTTTAAAAGTTTATCAACCTAAAAAAATAGGAGTGCAAAGAGACTTACCAGGTATTTCAGATCCCTTCGTACCATCTGTGGCAATTTGATTTCAGCAAATACATTATTTTTATTTAAAAAGCCAAGTCCTTGTCAAAGTATGTGTGGTTAGAAAGGCTGGGCCTCAGAGTCCCCTCAGGTCTCTGCATCAGTAACCAGACTCTCAAAGCATCCCCACTCTGAGGAGTTTAGAAGCCCAGAAGAGCACAGCTCATTATCTCTGATTATCATAAGCTGTCTTGTCAGGCTGCCTGTGGAAATTCAAGCGTTTCATTCTGGCCATCCTGATAAAAGTCTGTTCCTCTGAATATGTTGTTATGGTCTAGTATTTATTTAAAGTCTACCGTTCAGTCGGCGATGGTGTGATACAGGTTAAGAATTTTATGTTCTTGGCTCTCTTATCATTAGTTTTATAGTAAAGCGCCAGCTTTTAGAATACCATTGCTGATGAGTTTTTATTGTGTTCCTAAGACAAGAACGGGAAAAAAAAAACACCTATTGTGTTAGAAACTGATACCGAGACATTAGAGAGCTTGATCCTTGAGATTGACTCTGGATGTGTGTATATGATACACAGCCTGGAAATCACAAGTGGCTGATCTGATTTTTAAAATGTCATCTGCCTGTGGTCAAACATCTCAACAGCCACAGTGTCTGTTGGAATGACAAACATATTCAGACCACAGCTCTGTGCCACCAAGCAACCTTCGGGAACTGTTGCCTCAATATATTAAAGATAGAAGACATCAATTTCCTGCCTATTTATTCTGTCCATCTTTATGATGGTGACTTTTCTCCAAGGGCGAGGTGTTTGTTGTTTATGTGAACTTGATGAAAACTTTGCAAGAGAGTGAGGCACACCTTTTACTCTCCTGAGATAGTGGATACCTTTTTATCTGAGGTTCCCTGTTCTCCCTCCCTGCCAGGGGAGTGTTAGCATGAAATTTTTTTAAAAATTAATTATTTACTCTGAAAAGCTCTCTGGTTGTTACTCGTAGCCTATTACCAAGTTCCCTTGTTATACACTTTTTTTTTTTTTGTTAATCCTCACCCGAGGATATTTTTCCATTGATTTTTAGAGAGAGTGGAAGGGAAAGGAAGAGACAGAGAGAAACATTGATGTGAAAGAGACACATCGATTGGTTGTCTCCTGCATGTACCCCAACCAGGGCCGGGGAACCTGCAACCGAGGTATGTGCCCTTGACTGGAATCTAACTTGGGACCCTTCAGTCCGCGGAGTGACACTGTATCTACTGAACAAAACCGGCTAAGGCTGTTATACACTTTTAATGCACTCTGTACTTTTATTTCACAGCACTCATCACAATTTGCAATTTTGTATGTATAGATGCTCCTTGACTTACAGTGGAGTTACATCCTGATAAACCCATCATAAGTTGAAAATATCATAAATGGAAAATGCATTTAATACTTAACTTTATTAAATATCATAGCTTAGCCGAGCCTACCTTAAACATGCTCAGAACACGTCATTAGCCTTTAGTTGGGCAAAATCATCTCAATACTGCTGCCCAGCATCACAAAAGATCAAAATTCAAAGTATGGTTTCTACTGAATGCAAATGGCTTTTGCACTGTCATAAAGCTGAGAAATCTTAAGTGAGACCATTGTTAATCGGGAGCCATCTGTAATAGTATTTTTTATAAAAGTGTATTTCTTCTACTACTTTAGAAGTTCAGTGAGCTCAGGGACTCTGTTTTGCTCACCATTGTATCCCCAACACTTAACACCTGACACCTGTAGTAGGCCTTCAAAAATATGTATTTGAATGAATCTTGCATCTATGTCATTGTCATTTCTAGAGCTATGTTAATGTACATCTGATAGATACTTTAATATTGTTTGAACTTAGAAGCCATGTCAAATACTTTCCAAAGTTCTTCACCTTCTCTAAAACTCAGAAGAATAATACTTGCACCAGGTTTGAGATCACTCTCATTTATTTAATTAAATTTTTAAGGTTTTTAGTGCTCCTATTTTAATATATTTTTTCCCACTTACCATTGTGTTTCAAGGTTTAGTACTTTTCTTTTTTGTTTTTTTGGTTTTTTTCATGCCAAGAGAACTATTTTGCTGTTATATACTCTACTTTGCTTTTCGGCCATTTCAGAGGGCATTCACTTGAGCTATCAGTTGGCAGTAGTCTGAATTGGGATCAGAGTTAGTTCACATTCCTTTTCATCTTAAAGTAACAGAGATTTCTTGCAAAGATCATTCTCTGCAGATTTAGAAGATCTAACTAGTGTACTGAGTCAGTCCTCAAGTTAATAATAAGAACTATATACAGATACTTTAAAAAAAATTATTCCAGCCTATTAGGCTTTTTGTTTTGCTACCCAACTCTTTGTACTTCTGTGTCTTTGCCCAGGGAAGCTGTGAATGCTTCACCTGTGAGGTCCCTGTTGCACTGAGCCATCTTGCTGATAACAGCTGTAGGGATCGTGACCTCAATTCTTCCTTGTTTCTTTGCTTACCTGTACTGCAGTGTTGCTTCTTTTTTCCCTACCTCTCCTTGTAAACCTTGGCCTTGGAGGCATCTTGAAATTCCTGCAGATCCCATCTCTTTTTAGGTTGCTGGGAATTCAGCCAGCACTACAAAGATCCTCGACTAGGCTCAACCTTAGGACTATTTTAAGAAGACCCACTGGAATGATTTCCTTGGCTTTTTGAGACTTATTCTTAGCACTTATGCAGAGGTCTGATTCCATCTGATTTCTCTTTGTCCCACTGCACTTCAAGTCAAAATAATAGATCCCAAGTCTATTTTGGGTTCACAAGGTCCTGAAATGGTGTGTAAGAAGTCTTAAGGCAGACCGCATACTTTTGCTGAGGCAAAATTGCTTACTAACTTCTATGGTATTTTAAAGAAGCACGGCTGACTTTAAATAAGAATTCCGGGGGATGCTATAGGTTTTCCTTTTTAGACCACAGCACTAAGTGGGAGGCTATCACTAGTGATGTATTTTACTTTGGTAGACATGCTTTCTGGAAGAATTTGTGCTATAGTGCAAAGAACACTGAAGTGAAAATCAGAAGACCTCTGCTGCTATCACTGTGACCTTGGGCAAGTTTCTTAACTTAGTTACCTCATTTCTTGAACTAGTGACCAGTAAGGACCTATCCAGCTTTTAAGTTATAAGAACCTGTGACTTCACCCTTGGAATCATCATGGATCCAGTACTAGTTGACTGTGGCATTTTGAAAATGAATAGTTTTACATAGCAGTCATGAGAATGAAAACATTAATACCAATTAAATTTCATTATAGACTTGTTATGTAGATTTGTTTCATCAGAGAAATGAATCTGTTCACCTTGCCAGTCTCAAATTCAAGAAATCCTTATCTCCCATTTTTCGACTCCTGATTCTAGACTGACAAGTGAAAGAATTCACACAACCCAGCTGTTTGTTAGCTGACATAAGCTGAGCTCACAATACTGCTTAGCAATCCCTTCATCTCCCTGTTCCATTTACATTCCCCAATACTTATTTCATTGTGAAGATTTTTTAAAAATATATTTTTATTGAGGAGAAACCAAGATGGTGGCATAGGTAAACACCAGAAATGGCTGCCTCGCACAACTACTTCAAAAATACAACTAAAAGACAAAACGGACATCACCCAGAACCACATGAAGGCTGGCTGAGTGGAAATTCTACAACTAGAAGGAAAGAGAAAAGCACACTGAGACTCAGAGGAGGTGCGGAAGTAAAGTACAGAGGTACGGAAGCCCACGTGGAAAGGGCTGGCAACTGAGGACGCGGTTGTCTTTTTCAATCGGGAGGGAGTCTCAAGCTCCCGACTGCTCTGAACTCCAGTTCCGGGCGAGGCTCTGGGGACCCAGACTCATACGGGGAGAAACTGGACTGTCTGGCATCCGTTGGAACTCGAGGGCGGCTTTCTCTCAGAGGTGCTTGCAGTGATTACCGGGACACTGAGACCAGGGGCCTCTTAGGGTAGGACTGAGGAGCAGCCATAGCTGTTTGCTCCGCCCTGTTGATTCCCTGAGACCCCGCCCCACCCAAGCTGTGCGCAGAGGCTTTTGCATATGAAAGGCCTGACCCTTTGCAATCTGAAAACTACCTAACAAACTGCAGCTGGGTCACAGAGACCCAGAACATCCAAAAGAAGGCCCAAGGCCCCACAGCTGCTTGCATTGCTTCACAGCTTGGCCTCATCTAGGCACATCCAAACCCCAAACAAAGAAGAGGAATCTGCAGATTTCTCCATAGCTCCTGCTGGGTAGCCTCA